AGACAGCGATTAGAAACAAGTTATTTGACCTATTTTCTAGACTCACTCGACAGCAGGTTTAGAGGGCTTTTCAATTCGAGTGGTAGCTTTGTTTGTGGAAAAGTTTAGATAAAAACAGACATCGTTTCTTTGATAAATGTTGTAAACGGTACGAATCGACAAAATTACTCATTAATTAATTAACTGCTCGGAACAAAAACAACAAAATGAAATACTTTAAATTTGTTTTAAATGTTCCAATTTCGATATTCAAATGGGTGAAGACTTAAAACTACAATTAAATCAGATGCATTTATTTACAATTTGAGTATCGTGTCGGTTATAAAACGTTAATGCATTTCGGGGTCGTTGTACTGTTAAACAAACGAGACAATTTTAATAATTACAGAAATCTGTTTATAGATATAAAAATGTAATATTAATAATAAAATATTTAAAATTATTCATTTCGACAGTAATAAGATGTCGAAATAATTCCTTAAAATTCTATTCCGAAGACGAATTTCGAATTCGGTATAAATTTTCTAAATATGGATTTGTTCATATTTTAAATCGTATTGGCAACGAAATTAAATAACGAAATAGAAAAGGATTGTCATTAATTGCCGAACAATGATTTTGACGGCCTTAAGCTTTCGGAATATAGCTGACGACCATTTCTGACGTCACGAAGAAATAATCCGATTGGCCGAACAACTCCTAAAACAGGGGAGAAATAGCAAAGTAAGTAAGAGCCAATGTAAACGTCGTTTAATGTAAACTCTGTCTCTGCAATCGGCCGCCAGTGTTCATGGAATGGAACTGCTTAGCCACTGGTGAGCTAAATATTAAGCAATTTGGGCTACAGGTAGGTTGTTAAGTGTTCATCTTGCATTAAGTTTAATATTTAATTCAATTCAAAATTAATTAATTACTAAATTTATTACAAACAGACACTTATCACCTACTTTTAGTCCAAACTGCATAATAGCTATATTATTAATTAGCCAAGTTCTAGCCAAGAAAGTTAATCCAGGGTTATTTAATTATTAGAATAATTCAAACTTAATTATCGTCGTATGGTAACAATACTTACATTAAAATCACGGGTACTTTCTCTGAAATATGTTGGGGAGGGTGGATTCGAAAGGTTAGTTCCTTGAGATATATTACTATCTCTGGAAATTGATTTAGTTAATCTCCGTGATTTATCTTGACAACTCTGGAGAGAAGCATTACTACCTATAGAATAAATTAAAGCCGTAATATAATTATCCATTAAGAATTTTATCATAAATTCCACAAAATAAAATAAAATAAAATAGAAAAAATATTAATTATTCCAGAAATTTTATAGAGCTTAAGAAATATATACTATACCTATACTTTCTTTAGTGAATAGTTTATGTAGCATAGATAATATATTTTTCTTTTGTTGAGAATGAGGATGATATGGCCCTGCCAGACCTGAAATACTACTCTGCATGCTTCCAGATAATCTTTGAGATAATAAATGGCTTTGCGTTGTATTCATGGGCATTGTGCAAGTATCAGTAACCTGAATAGAAGAATCCCACATGAAATGATTGCTGGTTCAAAATTAAATAGGAAAATTGACAGAAAACTTGACGTACCTCGACATAGGGTTCGTCGGGAGTCTCTTCTAACGGTTCCATAGGAACAAATTCAGCCAATTTTTCTGGAACCCTAAATAATAATCGAAAATTAACACACATATTATTTATGAATCTGTTTAATTCATTCTAGTTTACTTGGTTTTAAGAGCTCTAATAAACAAAGAATGTGATAAAGACAAACTGTTGAATGTTTTATGTGAATGTAAAAATGGTGTAAGTGTAATAATTATAAACAAAGAAAAATTAATAAATTATATATCTTCTAATACTGTTATTAAATATAAAGAGATATATTTAATTTACAAATTAGCAATGCCATTGTGTTTACAACACTATTCTGTTTTAATAAAAAATTTAGATTATATTTCTTCATATATCAGAAAAGTTTACAGATTTTTACTCTCAAAACTCATCAATAGTATTTTAAAAAGAGCAAATTTCAGCTTAATGTAATTTTGTATTGTTACTAAGAATTAATTAAAACTGAGAGAATAAATAAAAACAGAACAACTTACGTTACAGCAGCAGCCGAACCCTGTGGGGGTCCTGTGTGGAACGGCATCGCGGCAGCAGTATACGGCAATTCAGTCATGATTTCATCCCAGTACTGATCTTTAATCAATTCAGGATGTTCTTGGTGCATTTCGTCTACAATTAGATACGAAACCTGAAAAAAAACCTTTATTGTCACATACAAGGAATTGCTGTATATGCAACCATCCACTAGAATTATAAAATTCTGACCTGTATATCACGATCGATGACCCAGTTAACTTCAAAATCGTCATCGTCTTCACCAAACGGATTAACAAGTGTTTCGGCAACCTATTGAGATATAAAACTAATTTGTACAGTTGAAGTTCTCTTAAAAAAGTTAAAAATATAATTAAAAATATAAATATTCATGAAACAAAAATTAGAATTAATATTTTTTAACTAATGTATGTAAGTATAGTTCCAATAAAACAAGTACAGAAATTTGAATTTCTATGCACCCATTCATAAAACAATCAAACAAAACTAACAGTAAGTTAGTTATCAATTATTTTTAAAAATAATAATTAAAAATTTAATATCAGATGAGATATGTATTATGTTTCGTAGATCTTAGCCAGACTCTTTTGGTGTGCAATCAGGGCCATCGAGAACTTGTATGGGAACTGAGTAGAATGGGTGTCTTCTGCCTCTTAGCAGAAAAAAAAATGAAATATGTGAAATGTTTCTTTATTAATAAAAAGTAATCTTAAAGATTTTATTTTCTGTTGGTAAAAATAACATTAATTTTACAGCAATAGAACCACTATGGGTCCCAAAGTTTTCTCTGGAACTGGAAAAAACTCCAGCTTCCCCATCTCGATGGTCCCATGCAAAGTAATAAGGATGAGTTTTTGTTAATACACAAAGGATGTAGATTATAAACACTTAACAGGATATAAAGCATGTCTTGGTTAAAGGTTTATATTCTGATTAAGTGTTCGAGCCCCAATTAATAATGTGCAGCTCCTGGTCAAAATTCACAAAACAACCTATACCACTTCAGAAATAAATGGTAGATAAATCAATGAACAGGTAATACCAGTGTAAATCTTAAAGATAATAAAAATTGAAATTAAAATTCTTGACTTTCTAACTTCCTCTAAAGATGCAAATATTAATGTGTAAAATGCACGTCCGTCTGAAAAAATGAGATTTTAAACAAATGATCTTCAATCACCTATAATTATCATTACTGAATATTAAGCAAAGTTCATTAGGCAAGATGTAGGCAAATAAAAATTGACTAATTAAAAAGTATTTGGAGTAACATTCATTTCAGGATATTTATGTTCATTTTTGAATTTCTTTTCATGTAGTTTTTGATTCATGTTACAGCTTTATCCTCAATGATGGATTGAAGAAGTCCAAAATTAATTATTATTTCATTTTTGTTGGTGTGTTAGTTACTGTTCTAAATAGTTTGAATCATGTTTGATTTATTGGCTTTGATTCAATTGTTGGGAACAATCCATTCGACATTGAAAATATTTTTATATTTCACTTGATGTGTAACAATTATAGATTTAAGTCCCACTTGATTTGAGTTGTCATTTCTATAAATACATTTATTTATTAAAATTATTAATTGTTAAATTTAATGTTAGTTAATGTAACAATTTGCTATAAATCTCTTCTAATTAATAAGTTTAACTTTATTATAAGAACAAATAATAAATATGGGATGTTGATAACTACGTTTTACTTATATTTTTTTGTATAACAAAGTTCCAAGGATAAATTTGTTCATTAAATTGATTAAATCAAACTTATTTGTATGGTCAAAAGTTTGATTTGATATATTTTTTTTTTGTTTATTAGTTTTATCTGTGACTATAGATTTATTTTAAAATTTCAGACCTAACACAAAACTAAAAATATACAACTAAATAATAATAAACTGTGATTTATTCAGTTTAAAGTTAAAAATTTATAATAAGTTTCAGAGCATGTCTAATGGAGATAATTTTTTGTCTTGTTCTTTACATAATATATATATTATTGTTCTTCCTTTGATTATTTAGTAGAACAATCTGGAACAAAAAAGCCATTCATTATAGTCACAGATGAATAATATGTAGGAAAAAAGCATGCTTTTCCATAAGAGATGTGGTACATTGGATTACTTTGGGTTACAGAGCAGACAACAGCATAAAACTAAAGCCAAGGGTTTTAAAATATGTTTAATCTGAATAATAAAGGGTTTTTGAAAAATGTTTAATCTGAATAAAATACTGACTCCTAATATCATTACATTAATTTTATAATGATATGTGTAGTGTTATAGTGTTTACAGCTGGCTAGTGTCAGATTCTGTAAACACGACCTCATACAATATCAAATATTGTGTTACCTATATAAAAGGAGTCTCATAGCAGTTCATGTTATATAATATACAGATTCATATGCTAATTTGATGATAATTAGTATAATAGAAGAATAAAAGAAACCAATCTTTTTGTTAATTTTTGCAGCACGAATGACTTATTTCCTTAGTACTTTCACTACTTTTGTAAAATGTTTTAATATATCTGAAAATTCTTACTTAAATAACATTTGATATATAATATTTACTCTGTATAAATATTTTGTGAATAGATTTGGAAAACTACTTAAGAAAATTAGAAAAATTGTCTTAAAATACTTCACTCACCTTAAGCCAACCCATATAAAAAAAGAACTGCAAAAAGTTAAAGACTGGCACATATAAATCTACTTGATGACCTTGATAACCTTGTGCAGGATCAAGATATTGTTGCCCCATTAAGGAAGCCAGAAAAAAAGTATAAACTACTAATGTAACAACCTAAAAAACAATTTAAATTTCTTTTAAATTAAAATTTTTGTCCATTAAGATATTTAATAGATTGAATGATCATTATAACATCAGAACAGATTTTTAAACGTACCTGCGTATATACAAGAGGTATACTGATCCAATCATAATTCAGCAACCCACCACAGAGTGCGCGATAATTTGCTATTGCCTGCAAAATTTAAAATTTTATTTTAAAATGTATGTATCAAAATTTAAAATTTTATTTTAAAATGTATGTATCAACGAGCAATTAAAATATTAAAAATCCATATCAAAATATAATTTAATATATACAATTTGTACTGATTTAACATCTAAAATCAAATCAGAATCATATTTTAAAAAGCTTTAGACAAAGTTTCTTGTGTTGTGTGACTAATCTATGTATAAAAATAGTGGAGAAAATTGAAGTATAAGAAAAAATAAAAAGAAAAATTTTTGCAAACTTACATCAACAACAGTGTTGAGTGCAAAATCGTCTCTGATTCTTCCCTCTTTCCTCGCCCGAGCGGCAATGCTTGATGCCCATACCAAAGGCATCCAATAAGTAGAATGATGCGTTTTCATTTGCTCTATAATTTTCTTTTCATTTGCTAAAAGTATTCCTAAAAATCAAATATGATTAATTTTATGTAAAAATTTGATATAAAAATATTAGATTGTAATTGAGACGAAGTTGGAAAGCAACGGACCTGCCTCCACCAGATGATCCAAGGTTGGAAATCGCTTCTTGACGCACGGACTAATGGACGTCATTGTAAATATCAACGCCAGGTTCACATAACGCATTATGGTTCTCCTCATTAGTCTTCCTCTTTCATCCTGGATGGAAAAAGAAAGAAGAGATGACTTCGAAATTGACAAGACATTTTGCAAGTTGTTCCCTACCTGTCCATGTAGAAAGGCACTGACAAAAAAAGCCAAAGAATCTGGCCAAGGTATACTCATAAAAGAATCCCACCATCTCTTTACAACAAGCGATACGTAAAATCCCAAAACGAACGAAACCGGAATGAAATCTGCATAAGTGTTGCAATAAATAGCCACTTTTTCAAAATACCTGTAAAATAAAGTAGCAGTTATTACTTAATTATGAAAACTAGTTATAGAATGACAAATTTAATAAATTATAGAATGAATTCCACAAAGCAACCAACTCAAAGTCAGAGGCACTGAGTTAATTGTTTCGACAATTAAACCATGCCTCTAACAGTCATCAGGAAGAATAGGAGAGACCCTCAACCTCATATATAAACTTAATCTCACCTTATTATATAACTATATAATAAGGTGAGATTAATATAATTATATTATATATAACTGTTGGACAAACGAATCTGATATTAAACATCTCTAAAAAAGATTATTTACATCATAAATGTGAGGTCACACACTAATAAATTTAGTTTCACCTATAGAGATTTTTATTAAGAACCTAAGTATTTTTGACCTCAAACTTTCACAATTGCTTAGATTACAGGTCAAACAAACTGTCAAAGAATACAAATGTCGTTGTCAATCTGCATTAATAAGATGATGGCCATATCTGAACAACAACAAAAGAAATACAAAAATAAAAGATCAAAATATGAGTAATACTAACAAAACAACATTATCTATTAGTGGAATAATGCTTTTTAATAACATCACTGGAAATTTTAGACACAGACAATTGAGGATTTTGCTTAGGATCTTACACTTTAACAGGCTTCATGTGTGCATTAATGTATGCTTGTCAATATTTAACATTGGTCGATACTTAGAATCTGGCAATAGCCTGGACTCGAGACCTCATACAAAATGCAGCATCATGCAATTTATATAAAAGAGCATCACATTTGTTTGTGTTCGTCTAGAGCCTGGCAATTTTAAAACCTGCACTGAATAACACTGTTAAAATTCTATTTAAAATAACATAAATCAAAATATATTTATTTAAATACTAGCTTACCCGTCGCGCATTGCTGCGATCTCAGAAGAGATGAAATTCAAGCAAACTCGTTATAATAAAATTAAATTTTCATTTTATCATTTTTATTGAAATATATTATTATTATTCGTTTTCATCNCACAATGTTGCCATTGAGAACATATCACACAGGAAACACTTTCAGAGGAAAAAGGTTGTTTTATTGATGTGAATGGATATGCATTTTGGGCTTAACGCCCCTCTTCAGTTGTATTATTACATACAAGGTCTGTTCAAAAAGTATCGGACCTTTGGTCGGCAAAAATAAATTTATTGAAAAATATAAAAACAATTCAAAATTAAATTATACTTCAGAACTTAATTTAGTATCAAAAACGTAAAATATTTGAGGTAGCCCAAGACATAGCCAAAGATTGCAGCGCCACAGCACTAGCAAAAATTTAAATTTGCCAACTGGAATTCTTTCGGATAACCGACTTTCGGATAAACGACGCTCTACTGTATTCATTGGTGCTTTTTGGAGTGCTTCTAAAAACAATCTTCCTCTAGTTGAGCCTTTCGAGTATAGTTAACTTTTGCGTGCAATGTGTACATGTTATGGGAAGATGCACCATTCATATTTGATAAAATAATTATTTTAATAATAATAATAATTTCCAATAAATACCAGAAGTGCACATTATTTCTTCAAGTACAGTCGACCCCCCTATAACGCGCATTCCTATAATGACAATTCCTATAACGTAGCGAAAAAATTGTAGCAACATTCGTATAAAGTACCTCCTATAACGTCGTTTCACGACAAGATTGATAGAATCTGGACCAATAGTNCGTACTATGCCACAAACCTTCGCCGGAGTATATTAAACAACTTCCCAAAGTTTCATGGCAATCGGATAAACGGTGTGGTAATGCATGAAGGACATAGGACACACAGACACACAGACACACAGACACACAGACAGACATACATTCATTTTTATATATATAGATAATCTGAACTTTCTATTTAATTTCAATCAACTGATATTGATAATTAGTGCTTCGCTCTAACTTCAAACTTACAAATTTACTTAATTAACCAAATATTTGTAATTTAAACCCAATTTGATCTATTCAACTCCACAAACAAGTTATAAAATGCCAGTATCATAACTACGCATTTGCACAGATATTATTTTTTGCTTCATTTGTCTTCTTTTTGAAAAAAATAAATACACAGAAATGGTTGGTTACTTTTAAAATTTAACCAAAAACATTACGGAATCAGCCCAATGGTGGCAAAACTGAAAATTTGAAAATGAAAATATAATACCAATTGTATTTTTGATACCCCATTTTGGGGTTTCCTTTGTCCTGGACCACATGTATACTGCAAAATACTCAAATGCTATAAAATTAAAGAGTCCTTTTGTATTTTAATAAAAAAATAAAGATCGGAACAGGTAAAGTAAGTAAATGTTCAATAAATCCAAGAAAATTGATTCTCAAATGAATCAATTTCAATCAATGATAGCATCGTCACCAATTAATACATTTGCTAAAAGAATTTTTAATAATAAATTAAGCAACTAACCTTTTGTGAGGATTTGTTAACACAAATCTGTAAATGGCACTACAGCTGTAATAGAGTGCGAGGTAGAGTGTCAGTTCAGGCCATAGTAACTTGTAGATGCTGCCTCGCCAACTAACACAAAATAGAACTTCAATGATAATTTTAAATTACAAGGGAATTTTATACTATGACATACTTCTATTTTAAATTAATTTTTTCAAAATTTACATTATTATACAGATAATAATGACAATATATTATTAAATTTGGTTATTATTTTTCATTGCATGTTTTTGTTTTAAAATAACAGTATAAACATCCATTAACTATTATTATTAAATTAAAGCCAGATGACTGCTGGATTATATCAGACTATATTAATGCTAATATTAATAATTAAAGGTTAAGTAAGGCCTAGATGTAATCATTAGGTGCTATTTCTTGATAAATTTAATAATTAATTTAAAAGATTCTGGAAGAAAAGAATTTGTCCAAAGTGGGACTTGAAACCTGCAACTCCTGCATAATGTGCAGTTCTATTGCCAGTTATGCTATCTAGACCTCTATCCAATCCTCACCTTGAGTAACCAATGAGATTGTATCTAAATTAATAGTTCTGAAAACAAAGATCAAATGGATGTCTGAGCACATACAGAAAATATGTGAGTCTATTTAGATAAGCATACAAGTTTTTGAAGAGAGCATCGACGTGTAACCTCCAGTAATATGAAGATTGGACAATCTCTTTCGTACAAAACCCCTTAACAGTAAAAAATACACTTTTATTTGCTTGTAACAAAATAAATTTCTATCCATTCTTATGTTTAACTTATAAAAACTTCCATTTGGTTATTACAGCAGTTGTAAAACAAACATTAATTAAATGGTTTTTTTAAATTGTAGTTATCACAAAGTATACAGCTTTTTAAAAGAGATGGGGAGAGGCTTTTAGCAGCTGCATTTGAATTCCGAAGGTGGATCAGGCTAAACAACGGAAACATCTACTTTTGTAGATCTTTATAGTTCCTGCTGGATATTGATTTTAAGTGTAGTGCTTAATTACACATACCAACAAGTATGTGACGTATACTAATCAATAGAGCAACCATTCAAGTTTCATCTACTGTCTACAATGTCTTTTTGTCTATTGCCTCTAGGAAGGGTTGTAAATGAAAATGGCAACCTCCCAATAGAGAAGGCATTTTGTTCTGCATGTCCACAAATTCAAAGTTAGTCATCACTGTGTAACGTGAATGTTTACCTTACATGGTGGATCACTTTGAAATTGTCTGTGAAACTCGCATTGCACACTGATGACCAATTCCAAATTTGCAGACTGCAGAACATGAAATGCCTTCTCTGTTGAAAAGTCACCATTTTTGTTTTCAGCACTTGCTAGGAGCAGGTGAACAAAAAGACATTTGAATGAAGATAGTAGATGAAACTCAGTTACTTAAATGATCAGTGTACAATGCATTCTTCTTGGGTAATAATTAACATAATTACAGTAATTTAAAATGGCAAAATTATTTTTGGAAGATCCTGTATATATTTGTGGTTATTTTTTACTTCCATTTACCTATATATAACACTGCTCTTTTGATCACCACATGCAATAATAAATTTGGATAAGCAAGTGCATGCAATATTATATTTCATAATATGAAGCATTACAAACCTTTTAGCAAATAAATAACAGTGTTCTTTCAAAAAAGATCAGCTCAATCGAATGTAAATTGGTTTGCCCATTTTTTCACCTGAAGAAGAACCAAAGGTTCGAAAACATTAGTGAAAGACGTAAAAGTTGAATTAAGCACCGTTTTTGGTTTATGTTGGAAGTACAAATAACAGTGTTTTTTGTACTCAATCCCAATCCAATTTTGATAATTATAAATAAATTATGTACAACCATCTATCATAAATTAATTCTTATTGCTGAAAGGCATTAAAATATCACAGTACCATGCTAAAGTTTAGTATATGTTATTTGATTAAATTATAATGAATTTAAATGTATTCTAGTTATGTGATATTATATTCAATTTATTTATGTTCTCAAAAAAGAAAATCTGTTTTATTTATTGATTTAATTACACCAGATGCAAATAAAAACTTTCATAAACTGTAGCTTTGACTCACCGAAATAATAATTTCCAAAAGCAACCAAAACCTCTGCTAGTGGCAACTTCTGCCGTGTAAGTAACGGTCATGACGATCAACTAAACTGCAAAATCGCCATCATCTAACCTGCAACAAATATGAAATTTTAATGTATTACAATACAATCTTTGTCATTTTATTTAATAAATTTTTTAAAAATGTACTTGTCAAATACAGAAATCAATAAAAATAATTATTTAAATTTTATACAAACTTATAATTTATTGCAATGGTATACTTCTTCACTTTCTTTGTATAAGGAGTCAACACAAATCAGAGAAAAATCAAAAGATAATGATACAATAACCACAAAAACTACAACGCTTGCACTCGACTACAAAATCTACAAGTAGAATTGACTCGCTTGTTCTAAAAGTAAAATTTGCAAGTCAAAGTATCACATATACTGACATATAAGACAAGGCTTTCACATGTGCTGCTCTTATTGGTCATATAAGACAACCCTCCCAACTTCTATATCTACAGATCGAAAACAAAATTGAGGAAATTCAAAAAAAAATTTGTATTATCAACAACAAATTAAAAGAAAGCAATTGATTCATTCCTGACAAGAAAATATTAAACCTTGGTTACGTCCGGTAAGTCTAGTAGTCGCTTGCCAGCCGATTTACTCACTACGTTCAAACTTGCTTGATGTAATTACTTCCGCTAGTAAACTTGCTCAATGTAATTTTGGCTATACTGTGAATCACAAAATATATAATTCCTTGCACTTTCTAATATGATTTCTTTACAATGTACAAAAATGCAACAAAAATATAATATCAACAGGGCAATAATATATTAACAATAATTTCCCTCGTCTCTTGTTTTTTTTTTACATATTTTTCCTGTGAAATCGATGTTTTATTCATATCATCCTCAGTTAACTTATGCTTTGACATATTAATGAGACCGTAACCATCGGCTAAATACATATGAAAGCAGCATCGAAGAATGCAGTCATTTTACATCATCTTGTGTCCACAAAATTAAAAAAACAGAAAAGAAACTGAAAGAAGCAGAATTAAAAAGTCATTAAAACATACAAACAAGACAACAAAAAGCGGCAACTGCTTGCTTACATGTTTCAAAACACCTCTCATAAGTGGTGGCAAATTCGATCAATTTCTCGACTTTGTAGCGTTTCATTTATTTTCCATATATATCAATTGAATGTAGATTAAATGAAGATCAAATTATAACTTCATTGATTGTAATCTTCATTTGTCATTTCTCTCTCAACAGATCATTTCTAGAATGCGTGACTTTGATTATCTTTTATTGTCATAAGAACTGTTAACAATGAATTACTAGCATGTAAACAGATCATTCATAATATCACAATTATTTTCATTCTGAAAATATTTCCTGGAATAAGTATTATAGTGACACTTGTGACATAAATTGGCCTTCTGAAATTCTTGCAAGAATAATTGGAACAGTGATGTCTTTAAAATGGAAAATTGGAATGAAATACCTGTCATATTGGTTAAAATCAACAAATGTAAGGGCAAACCCTGAATTATCTTGATTTTTGAATGAGAACTCAAGGTATTTCTATGAAAAATTCACAGCAAATTAATACTATATTAAATGTAAATCATAATGGCCAGTTAAACGAGACGACAAAGATATAAGTCTATCTTAAAAATTTTTGTTGTAAATTCTAAAAATTAATAAAATAATTTCTAGATTAAAACCAAATAAAACTACTTTCTCTTATCCGACTTAGAGTGATTTATTTTAGTAGACAAACAAATAACATAGAAATACTAAACTTTAATTATCAATAACTTAACATTTACAAAATTCATCACAACATTTTTATGAATTTTTAACTGATCCCATTGTTTTAAATTTTGTGAATATATATAAGTATCATTCTGAAGATTTAGGCTTAAATCTGGGTCAAAACCTCAAATTTTCATAAGAGATTCAATCCAGATGCATCCATCCTTCACTACAAACTCCCTTCATTGAGTTCTTGCTGCATCTGTAACAAGCATTAAAAAAAATCAAAAGAAACCCTCCTAAATCATATGCATTTTAATATACAAGGATCATCAAAGAACTCTGTTCAGATTCTGATGATACTTACTTATATTATAGAATGTCAAAAATTAATACAGATGCATTTTTCTGTTGACAGAAAAACACTTTTAGGAGTGAAATCAGCTCTCAAAATCAGGCTTGACAAGCAACAATTTACATGTAGGGTTGTAGGAGTGTTCTGTCGGCACCTGTTTGTCTTTAGCATCCATCCAACACAAACAAGACATTCCATCAAGGGGTGGCTTCCTAGCTATTTGGTTGGTTGGCAGCAGTGCCCACAGACTATAAGAAAGGATATCATATGTATATATAGATATATATAGATATATATGCAGTTATCTTTTGATTAATACAGATAACTAATTCCTTGATGCTACCGTGTATATCTAAATTGCATTTATCAAATACAGTGGTATCTCGGTACTTGACCAAACAATCAGGAACCTCGAGAACAAATTTTCAGTTGTTAACGAATATTTTTATTTTAATTTTGTCATCAGTAAAATAAAAGGTTTTCTGCGATAAAAATGAGTAAAGATTTCATTGAGTAGATAATATGAAACCTTAAAGCTCCCCTGGAGATTTAGAAAAGGGCAACTCGATAGCAAAGAGGAGCAGGTACTCCAATATACTTTAGCAAATGGTTTTGCCGAATAAGCTGTAAATATCACGATACCCCAACACTTTGCATTGAGTTACTCTATCATATTGCTACTCAAACTTGGGACTAAGTATACAGGTTTCTCAAGTGTGTACTGTCAACTTGGGTGACTTTAATAAAATTTAACCGATTAAAATAAAATATGCATAACTTTCTGAATAAAACATGTTTGACCAAACTCATATTTCATTACAAATCTTTAAACTAGGACTGTATTAAAGGTGATGCTCTCAAAGTGCATACATGAGCTGAGTACAAACAACTTATTTAGCATTAAGAAAAGCTTTGAAAAATTCCTCACAAAATGCAATTTCTAATATTTGAAATGAAGGAGTGTCAATTCGAGAAGCATTGGTCACATATAGTATACACATAGAACCCTATACAATAAAATTTGTGGTAAACATACAGGAAAAGTAAGATGCAATACAGTTTCAATAGAATGTGATTCTTCCCTCCTGTTATTTCCAATTCAAGCACCGGCAACTATCTGAACTAAAAAGCCAGTACAGTATAGATATTGTAAGAATCTGTTCAATTTGTGTGATAGGTCAGCATGATTTTTATGCTGTGATATCCCATTGCATAGTAAAGCACATATCATTCCCACTACCAATGTATTCATTTTCATTTGCTCAAATTTTGTGATATCTAAAGTTCCAAGAGTTTGTTTAAACTCTGTAATAGAAATGCCATACTATAAATTTTTGTTTCATATATACTATATGCAAGAAAGAAATTACATTAAATTGGCTTCATGTTTGGTATTTGCCAAATGCCAAACATTCGGCCAATATGGAGAAGCATGGATGATTTACTCGTGACTAGTATTTGATATTTGCCATGTCTCATTCCTCGTAGATATTGTGGTTGTACACCACATTTTTATAAAGTAATTTTATATATAAATATATTTGTATATTTCATTTCCCATTCTTTCTCTGTCCTTTGTTCTCTTGTACTCTCCCTTCTGGAAACTTCTCTCTGTGGGTGGCAACTACTGGTTGGAAAGACAAAAGGAGCAGGTTAGCTCAGAGGTGCTAAAAGGAAGATAGCGGGGTCACTTTTGGCGGAGACGTCGAGCCGAGAGGACGTTTTTCGTGGAAAGGGTCAAGTCGATCTTGCATCGCCAAGAAGAGAGCAAGAGCGAGTAGGTGAAGAGAAGAATCATCGAAGTACGCTAACGTGAGAACCCCTCCAGAAGCTTACCGGGAAACCCGAAGTGAAAAAGGAAAAGTTCGAACTCTACGATCATCAGACTTCATGTCGTCCAGCAGAGAGATCTACGTTGCAACTTCGAACATAAAGTTACTAGCTAAGTTGGGTACCCATTCAAATTCAGTTCTATCCTATCAAATACTCCTTCTATCCTTCCCTATAGAATAAGTAGTTCCTAGATAATTAGTTGTAAGATCGTCGTGCTTAATTTTGTAATGCCGCATATTTTGTAAAGCCGTTCCTTTGTTGCAAGAATTCGGGTTAACATTCCTGTTCGAGTTAATAATCTAGACATTTTGTTCAAGGAGTTGTCAGTATCCAAATGAAATCCTGTAAACTTATTGAATACTGGTGAAAAATTAAAGAATTTCCTTTGTCTTATCGTATCTCTTTGAGAGACTCATTTTTCACCACATGCATATACCACAGTATATTGTGCCAAATCAAAGAGAACAAATAGGCAATTATTTGGCAATTGGCTGATACCAAGTATGTAGAGCTAGATCAAAAGGTTTAGATCATTGCATCAACTCTGAAAAGTGATTAAATTTAAAATATTTCCATTAACTCAATTCAAATAACTTTTCTTGGAGCAGAAAGATATTCTATATGCCCATTGTCAGAGATGCCACAACACTAGTAACAATCCAATACCTCCTCCCAATTTTTACTTTTCTCTTTGACTCGAATGTCATAAACATAGCTAGAGTTTAAGGACAGTAGTTTCCTAATAAAATTTTGCTTCAAGATAAGCAGTTTGAGTTAAATCTATGCTTGAGGAGATTTCTTAATTTAATTCTGTTATGTTTCTTCAAATGTAAATCAATTATGAATAAAGTGGACAATGACAAATGTTATTATTTCTACTTTGATAATCACGTTTATGTTTCATTCAATGTTTTGTGCTTAGTTAAAGAAACATTTGGCAAAAACAAGTCTGTCTTAACTTTTCTGATTTTAGGTGAGAAAGGAAGAAAGAAATATGAGAGGAAGATTTAAACATAGAAAAAAGTATGAGAGATCCCCCTATACAGGATCGTCAAATTATGAAACAAAATAGGCATTGACAGATTTCTAGCTTCAAGTGTAAACATAGAAATGTTAAAAATACATGGAATTTAGTAGAACATTTGCCAAATTTTATTAATATTTT